AGTTGGCTCGGGGTGCCCACACTTCCTCCCAGTTCCCAGCTGTTGGAGGAGCTTAAGGAACAGAGCGCAGGTTGTTATACGTTGCAGCCTTGTTCGTCTCACCAGATGATGTGGTTGGATTTTTCTAGTGGACTGATCTTGCCAATTCCCAGTTAACAGTCTGGTGGCAAACTCCGGCAAACACAACCTGGCTTTTGCCGGCCTGAAATACGCAGTTAGGACTGCGTGCAGGCTTAACGCAGCAGCGTCCAAACCCACCCTGTTTGCATTCAGCATTAACCTTGGTTGTCATAGCAGGGGAGGAACCGATATTGCAAAATGCCACCAGTACCTTCGGTGCCCTGACGAGGTGGGGGGGAGGGAGGGCAGCACGTGGCAGCCGCCCTGCATCCTCGCGGTCCCTCAACTGGCCGTTTTCCTTCCAGATCCTACTCGGACCCAACACAGGGCTGTCGGGGGGAATGCCAGGGGCCCTGCCTCCGCTCTCTGGAAAAATCTAATTTTTGGAAGCTGCGTTGGATTCATACTGTGTGGGAAGACCTTGAGATGATGATACATTGAACTGTTGATTTGTTGGGTCAGGGCATTTTTATTTTTTGTCGGTTGTTTATTTTTGGTTCTCCTTTGGGACATTGACCCATTCATAATGGGGGGGCAAGCCCCCCACCTCTGGACCTGATGACGGCTCCCGTCTGCATCCTTCCCCCCCATAGAAGTTGAGTTTTTCCTTTTATTCAATCAGTATGCCATAACCAGTTACAGACTTGAACTGGGTGAGTACCTCTCCCAGCCTCCTTGGCCCCCACCCCCCTCAAAACCACGCCAGGGCACAGGCCAGGCTTTGAAAGGCGGCAGTCAAACGAAACAGATCCTTTCCTGGCCGATTCGGAGCCAAAGGACACGGGCGACAGGAGGAGGAGTGACTTTCCCAGCAGGTGAAGCAAAGGAGGAGCACGAGTAGCCATATCCTGAGGAAAACGCTCTCTGGGAAGACAGACGTGCAAAAATATTTTCACTGCAACTTTGTGTGCGAGTAGTGAGGGAGCAGCGGGCCAGGTTCAAGACGATCACATCCATGCTGATCCTCTGCCTCATAAAGTAGATATTGGCTGCGTATTTTTTGTATTGAATATTAAATAAATCCAACCTGAGCAGTGTGGGTTTAATACATGTCCTTTAGGGAGGCTCAGTTCTTTCAAAGCAGACAGCAGGGGGAAGGGACAGACAGGGATTTGTCATCCTCAGCTGGCAGAGAAAGCTTTGTGTGGCTTAGGGGGCTCTCAGGGAGGGGATTCTACCTCAGCACCACTGACCCGACTTTGCGGTTCTTAACTTGCAGAAAGATTGCAGTTTTATAACCAAAGAAAAAAAAATTTATTTTTCCTTTACATACTTTGTTACAGAACAAATCAGTTGAACATACAGAAGTGATAGGACATTTATATGGAAATGGGTTTTTTTCCATTTTTAATATTTGGCTAAACAAAATACATCTCTGTAAACAAACCCAAGACAAGGCTCTAACAAAACCAAACAAGCAAGAAAACAAACACTGGCTTTCCCACTCCCTAGCTGTGGGACTGGACCAGTTCGCCCACCCTCAGGTGCAGCAGCCTCCCCTCCCACAGGGGTGTGATCATGCACTTTACCTGAGCAGCTGGTTCACACTGTTTCCCTCCCCCTCCCCCCCCACGGGAAAGGTGCTGACATACAAGGAGAGGAAAGTAGCCCCAAAATGTTTTAAAACATCTTTGCATATTGTGCACCGATCCGTTGGCTTGCAGTTTCCATGCAAACAGGGTTTCTCCAAAGTGCGACTTTAATCAGCATAGAAAAGTGTTGCTGTTGAGATTTTTTAATTTTTTTTTCCCTTCTTGAAGAAATGGCTTCAAGTCACGAGCAGAATGCCTGCAGGCTTCGCATCCTGCCTGTAAAGTGTTTAAAAAAAACCCCAAAAACTCTGCCAGCTGGTATTGGTCAGTGGAATGTGTTACGAAATAGGACTTTTTATAGAAATGTTGGGTCTTTAAAACGTAAGAGCCATTTGCCCTTGACTATGGGAGGCTGTGCTCAAAAGACCGCAAAACGGTGCTTGCCAGATGTCCGGGGGTCAGCGAACATCGTGGTCCTGTTGTCACGTGGCCTCTGTTCTCCGTTAGGAAGGTGCGAGTTTGGTGGTCTCTCGGCTTCAAAAACCCACTCGTCCTTTGCGGAAAAAAATAACTGAGAAAAAGTAGTTACAACCCCTCCTTTTGCAAGCTCGACCACCAGTAATGAGACTTCCCTGCACGACCTAGCGGGATCCTTCAAGCTCCATCACGTCCCAGAGATTGCTGCTGTTGAACCAAGACATCCCGTGCATAGAGGAGGGAAGCAAACAGCAGCTCAGCCAGGAAGAGCTAAATGCAACAAACTTTTTTCTAAACTCAGCATTTCTTCCTCCTGCTGTGGAAGGCATGACTGAGCAACAGCTCGCCCGGGTGACTGGGAGACAGCCGGCAGAGATTCCCTTTAGCGTCTCCATGTCCGAGTCACTCTTCCCCGCAGAAAGGAGGGGAGGAAAAAGTGATTCGTCCCTTAATGGAATGTTTGTCGGCCAACACTAAGAGAGAGGTTGGTTCAACTACCAGGCCAGGGTTTCTCTAACGCCCAAAGGTTCTGGTGGACCCTCTGCATCTCCCCATGTTATCAGCTAGTAACTATAAAAAGGGAAAAACCTGACTGTTACCAAGGCTTCCCTCCTCAGTCGATTTTTTGCTTTGTAACTTTACCTCTTTCTGGGACATTTCGCATGACATTCACAACTGTGGGCTAGGCTTCTGGAAAGAGGAAAATAAAAAGGAATGCATTCCTCTCAAAACCCCTTCAGTTTTATTCCTCTCTCCAAGCAGCCCCTAAACTACTGGGTGACCATGCAGAAAACCAAAATAGATAGTAAAAGAAAAAAAAACCCAACAAACCAACCCAACATAGCACAAAGAAAGCCAAGCAGACTACGGCCTCTCTCCAGTCCAGAAACTCGATACTCCTCAATTAGCCCGTGCTTGCTGTTTCCACATCGCTTTAGCCAGCCGCATGCTGCCGAGCAACTGCTCACCACATATGTAAACCCCTGGAGATGCTGGGGAAGAATCCTCTAGCTACCTGAAGAATTTCTTGGAAGATGACACTGTTTTTATTACTGTTTTCTCATTCCTGGCACAAACCATCCCTAAGAAGCAGAGGGTCGTGCTGAGCACCGTACCATTCCTAGTGTTTTGAGAGTGTCCTGAGACCCTTAGGAATTGCAAACGTCTTCATGACGACTTGTTTTGGAGGGAGAAGCTTGTGAAGAGGCGGCAGCATGCTCAGCCTCTGCTCCTCCCTAGCAAGCCCTGGAGGGAGCAGCGTCCCACCATGTGCGGCCTTGAACGATGCGGGGAAAGGGAGGCCATAGGCTCCCAGGCACCCCAGCCCCAAAGCCTGGTTTTAAAGAGCGCAATGCCTTCTAGCTAGCTGAAGGGCACACAGCTCATCCGCCTTTGCAATTAAAGTGATTGGCTTCCAGTTTCCTCCCCTCTGCCCTCAATTCTTCCCCATCCCACCCCCCCCCCCCCC